GGAGGGAGAAGCAGGCTCCCTGCAGAGCAGGGAGCCCAATGCGGGGCTCGATCCCAGGACCCTGGGATCATGACCTGAGCTGAAGGCAGACGCTGAGCCACCCAGGCGGCCCCCTGTCAAGATATTTTTATGGCATAAATATAGGTTGTATCTTAGATCCTATTCAAATCCTATGACTTTTTTTTCTTCTCAAACTTCCCAAATATGTCTCAACACCTCCATCCCAGGTGTTTAGTCCAGGCCCCGATCTTGGCTGCCTGGAGGCCTCCAGATCTACCTTCTTAGCTCATGTCCTTGCCTCTAGTGTACAAGTGTAACTATGTTTAAATGACTCCCCATCAGTTACAGGATAACGTCTAACTTCCTCATACAGGTAACCATCCCGAAAGAATGAGACTGGTTCTCATGTATGAACAAGGGAAAATACCCAGTATACGTTGGTAACGGAAGACACGAGTTAGGAGAACTGCATGATATTGGGGGATGGGAAGGAGAAGCAGCAGCTGGAGTCACAGATCAGGAACGGAGGCCGGGGTGGGGGTCGGAGTGACGTCAGAGGAACGGAGGCCGGGGTGGGGGTCGGAGTGACGTCAGAGGTCAGGGACTCTTACTGCTCAGGCACTGGGGTCCAGTAGGGATAAAGGACAGGGATGTAGAAGAAAGTAGATTCAGAGATCAAACCAGCACTCACCATCTCCCAGAAGTACAAGGCCATCTGAGCTCTGTTCAGTAGCAGCGCCCAGAGGAGCAGGTCACTCCAGGGGGCCTGCCCGAGGATGGTGTCCAGCATGAGATCAGAGTGGGCCCTGTTCGAGAGTAGACCCACCTGCAGGCGAGTTGAGGGGGTGGTGAGGACTGGCCCCTTCCTGACTCCGCCCCAACCATCAGCTCCCTCCCCACCCCACCCCGTCTGGGCGCACACCCTGTTCCCAGGCCTGCCCCCAGATCCGTCCTCCCACCCCAGGCTCACGGGCCTAGTCCTTACGCTCTCCCTGCAGGCTTCTCCCTGGTGGGGATCCCTGGCGCCCCCAGCGCTGTACCTCGGCGCGCACGTCTCCCCCAGCAGCAGCCGCAGCACCTGCCCCACGTCAGGGGGTCGGGGCTCCGCAGAGGATTTAAGGACTGGGCTTTTGGTGCCTGCACCATGGGACGCCTGATCCAAAAGGCTGCGGATGAGCGAGTTGGAGGGCGCGGCGCTGTAAAGCTGGGTCAGGCGCGTCGGGGTCAGGAAGTGGCCCACACTGAGGCCATGGGAGATGAGCAAGCGCACGAACTCAGGCCGGTCATTCAGGAGGGCGTCCATGAGTGAGGCTTCCAGGTGGACGGACTGGCAGGAAGAGATGAGCACAGAGACAGAAGGCCAGGTGACGTCGGACGTGAAGGACAAGAGATGGGGTACAGAGCTAGGAGTGACGGGTCACTGGGTGGGTGGGTGAATGGACGGATGGGGAGAGGGGAAACAAGATGTGAAGAGATGGACAATTAAGAGAAGGCTGGACAATAATGGAAGACCAAGCCAGATGTGGAAGAAGTCAAGCAGGGAGGAGAGTGCATCCCCCTTGTCAGGATCCACAGCCCGCCCGGTCCTGCCCCCTCACCCGCCATTCAATGTCCCCCCGGAAGAGTTCACTCTGCGCAATGTCCACGCGGTTCCAAGCCACAGCCAAACGCAGCTCATCCAGGTAAGCTGAAGCTTCCGAGCTCCCACAAGCTGAAAGAGTGAGAGGGAAAGTGCGTGAAAAGTCGGGGGTGGGGGGTGGTAGGAATTTCAGATGAACGTCTGTTTTGCTTCAATGGGAGATACGGGACATTTAAACCCCATATAAAGGGGGTGTTGTTGGGTAGCGTCTGGGGTCTTTAAGAAGTCAGGCTATTGCAAGCATAAGGTTATTAAGCTCAGGGCAGAGGGCAGACCAGCGTTCTAGAGTCCTCAAGAAGAAGAAAGGCAATCAGGTATCCATTTCACATTTACTGACGTACATTATGGACCAGGCAATGGGAGGGACGGAGAAAGAAACTGGATGCAGCCCCTGCCTTGAAGGAGATCCTTCCAGAGAAATGTGTCCAGAAACCACGTAACTACCTTCCAAGGGATTGGTGCCCTCGGAGGTGGGCACAGAATGTGATTAGGGGAGGCTACACTCACAGAGGTGTGGAGTGATCCAAGGGGGCCTCCTAGAGGACGGGCATGGAGGTAGGGCTTTGAAAGATGGGCAGGATTTGGAGGTGTGCATCTAAGATGAGAAAAGAAACTTCCAAGGCAGCAGGAGCGGCCTGAGCCAAGGTCTGCGTGCAGGCAAACACAGCAAGGGACGGCAAATGTGAGTCACTCTGATTTCCTGGAAACATAAGTGTATTTGTGAGAAGACAGAGAAATAAAAATGAGCAGCAGAAAATGAGATGGGAAAAAACTCCGAACAGCAGAGGGGCTCCGGAAGGCCCTGGAGGTCATTAAAAAGAATGAGGAAGAGCAAAGGGCCTTTAAAACTTTGACACAACAATTAACGGATCCAAACATGTACGGTCAACGAGGGGCCAGAAAAATCTGAAGCATCCAGAGAAGGTTCCAAGGAGAAGCCAAGCAAAGTCTAGACACTGCTGGTGTCCGGACCACTTGTGCCATTTTTCCTTCTGTGTCCACTTGCTTCACGTGGATTTCCAAAACTAAGGAGGGCCATTTTGGTTGTTCTGAAAACTGGAGTGGCGGGACTAGGCAATCTAGTGGAGTGCAGGTGAACAATGGGCTCTGAGGCAGGCGGATCTGGGTTCCAGTCCCAGCTCCACCAATACCAGTGGAGTCTCTTCAGGAAAGCCCCTGGCCTTTCGAGCCTCTGTTCCCTCATCTATAAAATGGGGATAATCATGGTACCCACTTTGCAGCATTGTTAACGGTAAGAACTGTGGGGAACCTTGAAGGCCAGTGGTTGAGGAAAAAGGTCGAGAGAGAGGCAGTCACATGCCTAGGACCACATAACTTTATATACATATTTTATAAGTAGGCTCCATGCTGGACATGGAACCCAACACAGGGCTTGAACTCACTACCCTGAGATCAAGACCTGAGCTGAAATCAAGAGTCGGACGCTCAACCGACTGAGCTACCCAGGCGCCCCTATATTTCTTTTCAAAACCCAGAAGCAAATTCACAGTGGGCTTTTCTAAGATTCTATAGACCTCCCCGACTTTCCTCACAGTTTCAAGACAAGAAAAAAAATTATAATATCTCACTTGCTATGCTGCCTTAACACATCTCCCCATTTATCACCTGGACGCCCCCCATCCATCACGCTCGCCATGTCCCATATGGAGCTCAGCATCTTTCCCCAGAACCGACCTTCCCTGGGTTCTGTATCTCAGGGATGGCTCCTTTGTCCACCCAGGCAACGAGGCAGACCCTCCCCCCGTCCCTGTGCTGTCCCTGCCCCTCCCTTTCCTTCACATCCCCCAGCTCATCAATCCCTAAGTCCCATCCCTCTAGCCCTCCGACCCTCTCTGCCCAGCCCCACACCCCCTGCAAGCAGGAATGGAGGATCATGGGCAAAATGTCTGCCAAATGCTCGGCACAGTGCCTGGGCTCATGCCACACTCTTAAGGAGCATGCATCTCCTCCCCGCTTTCTTCCTCACCTGCTGAAACCTCATCCATTCAACTCTGCTATCACTGAGCCCGCCCAGCCGGCTCCAATGTCCCCAGCAGAGCGGATCGCTTCCACTTCTGCAGACAACAGACTGACGACACCATCCCTGCAAACCACCTATTCCACAGCCGCCCTGTTTTCTCCCAAGAGGCTGGTGCATTAACTTCTGTGAAGTGAAGCAGATTTGCTCACTGACTGCCATTCGCTGCTGTTTACGGGATGTGTCCCCACAGGAAATGGAATTTTATTAAGAACAGCTCCCTGGGTGCCTGGGTGGCTCAGTCGGTTAAACATCCGACTCTTGATCTCAGCTCACGCCTTGATCTCAGGGTCATGAGTTTAGGTCCCATGTTGGGCTCCACTCCGGGGAGCCTACTTAATTAAAAAAAAAAAAAAAAGAGCTCCCATTTATTGGCCCATCCCTGGAGACCAGGCACTGTTCATAAGCTGTCCCTGAGGCTCGCAACACTCCTGCAAGATATCATCTCCACTTTTCAGAGAAAGAAACTAAGGCTCAGAGTGGGGGAAGTCTCTTTGTCAAGGTCACACAGAAAGGGAGGGGCCAAACTGGTATTCCAATTCAGCTTCATCTGACTCCAAAGTCAAAAGTAATTGCTCTTTCTGTCACACCACAGAACATGCTGGATACAATTGGGGTGGGGACCTGGGACTGACACTATGCCTCTTGGGAGTTTTTACCCAAGTGGGTGTTTTCCCTGTAAAACTTCTGACACCAAAACTACTCTCCCCACCCTCATCCCCACAGAGTTCTAGGAATCCTCCTTACCATTTATTTATCCTATCTCCCCATCTCACTAAGTCCAGATTCTACTAGCTCTTCAAGACCCATTTAAATAGCACCCCCTCCTTGTCTCTTTACTGACAGTGGTTTCCCCCCCAACGCTTTGGTCTTCAATTTTACTTAAGGTTGTGTCCAAAAAACTCTGGTAGGATCTGCGGTCCTTCAGAGCAAGAAATGGGTCTGCTTTAGTCTCTGGAGCCTAGGATGATGTTATTGAATGAATACATGATCCCCATCCCTAGCCTCTACCAGGTGGCCATTCTGCTCCCTACCTTGGTTTTCATCATCCATTCCTGTAGTAAAATATCAGGAGTTCCTCAATGGGAGATGGTGCTCTGGTTCATCTCTGACTCCCCTACCCCTCAGCGCTTAAAACGTATTGGAGCTATGTAGGAAAGGAAGACAGGGCGAGTGGGTAGATAGATGGAAGGATGGATGGATGGACGACGGATGGATGGATGGATCAAAGATGGATGGAAGGAAGAATGAGTGGATGGAACTGTCCATAGATATGTGGATGGACAGGTAGAAGGATGGGTGGAAGGCAAGATGAATGGATGATTGGATGGATGGAAGAATGAAGGATGAATGGAATAATGGGTAGATGGAAAGATCAATGTACAGATGGATGGATGCATGCATGCATGAATCCAACAGAAAGAAAACAATGTTGGAACATAATGAAAGTATCTTGGGAAAACTGTCCAAACAGCACCATGCAAAGCCCCAAGAAACACTGCCAAGGGGAATAAGAAAAAGAAAAGAGATAAAAAGGAGCCCAACTTTAGAGAGGATGGATAAAGTGCCCAGGCCAAGAAAGGTGTCCAAAGTTGAGCTGAGAAAGGAGGAGAATTTGGGGTCGGCTTACCCTTGACAAGGGCCTTCAAAACAATGGTCTCAAATTCCTCAGGGCCATCCTCAGATGAATAGACTGTCAGCAGCTCCTTCCGGGTCATGATCCTCTCCACCTGCAGAATACCGAATTCCACACCCTAAGCCCAACTCTGTCTGCAGAGTCACAGGAAACCATTCCCTCCAGGACCTAGTAGTCTAGATGCCCAGCACCCTCGACTCCCAGAACCTGGGAGTCTGGGCCCCCAGGCCTCTCCTCCCTCAAATCCATGAGTCTGGGCCTCCATTCTCCTCTTCCCTGGGATCCAGGACTCCAAGACCTCAGCATCCTCATCTCTCAAGACCCAGGGACCCGGGTCCCCAGCTCCCTCCCATCTCAGGATTCAGAGTTGGGCCCCCAATGTCATACCTGGGCCTGCAGAACCTCAGGGTCCCCTTTGGGGAAGAAACGCTTAATCCGATCCCGCGCTTCACTTTGCCTGCTCCCCCCTCTCCCTGGAGCCAGAGTGTCTTCCAGGATCTCTGCCAGGCAGTCTGCAGCTCCCCCGGACCCAGCCACCAGGAGGCAGGGGAGCTGAGCCTGGGTGGCATTCTCTACCTGCTACAGGATAAAAGGGGCAGTCAGATCAGGGAAGGCAAGTGTTCATCCCACCTGGAGTCCAGATCCCCAGCCCTGTCCTCCCCTGAGACTCAGGAGCCAGGAGTCAGGGCTCCCAGCCACCTCCCCACTTAAACCCTATACCTTCAACATTTTCTCATCACCATCAATCAAGAGGAGGAGGACAGGGATGTCAATTCCAGTCCCTGGGGAGAAGAGAGCCAGGGGCTTGGTCACCTCCCATCAGCCTTTGCCAGAGATGGGAAAGAACCATATTTCCCATGAGTCCCTGGGACAAACTTGGCTTCTGCCTAATCCTGTGTCCTATGGCTCACGGGAATTGTCATATCTTTGAGCAGGTTAGGAAGGATCAGATTTTGAAGATAGTAATACTTGACTTCCCAGGGAAGGAAGGGGCTGGGGGCCTGGACTCCTAGGCTCCCAAATGAAGCAGGTATTTATGGCATGAGTCACTCCTGTAATTGCCTAACAGCCCAGGAGCCAGGAAAGGATGGAAGTTTAAACAGAAATGAAGGACATAAGGACTAGAAAGGACTACCTAGGGGCACCTGGCTGGCTCAGTTGGTAGAGCATGTGACTCTGGATCAGGGTTGTGAGTTTGGGCCCCACGTTGGGTGTAAAGATTTCTTAAAAATAAAATCAAAGAAAGAGGGCACCTGGGTGGCTCAGTCGGTTAAGCATATGCCTTCGGCTCAGGTCAAGATCCCAGGGTCCTGGGATCAAGCCCCACATCAAGCCCCACGTCAAGCCCCCGCGTCGAGCCCCGTATCGGGTGCCCTGAGGCTCAGCAGGGAGCCTGCTTCTCCCTCAGCCCCTCACCCCTCTCCCTGCTCCTGCTTTTTCTCTCTCTCAAAAACAAATAAATAAAATCTTTAAATGAAAGAAAGAAAGAAAAAGAAAGAAAGAAAGAACTATCTAAATACAATAAAAATGTTTCCAAAGCCTAAAAGCAAAATCATGTAAGATAGTTTTCTACTAATTCTATTCCCAGTAAAATAACAAACAAGACAACGTTACTTCTATTCACACTCATCCAGGAGTTTTGACCTAATGTAATGATGAAAGAAAGTAAAATTGGAATGCAAACTAGTATTTTTTTTTTAAGCTGGAAGAGACAAAGGTATCTATTGGAAGAAAACATGACTTAGATTCTCAGAAAATCGGAGACTCCACTCAAAATAAATAAATATTAATAAGAATCTGGTAAGAGAACCGATACAAAAAAAAAAAAATACACAAAAATAAAAAACTTTTCTCCAAACTAGATTATCCATGTTTTCATAAAAATGACAAATTACCTGGGAATTAATTCATCCAGAAAGGTATGAGATTTTTATGAGGAAATTGACAAACCTTACTTAAGGACCAGGCTTGAATAAATGGAAAAACAAATACCACGTTAACCTATCAGAAAGTGACATATAGGGGCGCCGGGGTGGCTCAGTCACTTAAGCGTCTGCCTTCAGCTCAGGTCATGATCTCAGGGTCTTGGGATCGAGTCCCGCATTGGGCTCCCTGCTCGGCGGGAAGTCTGCTTCTCCCTCTCACTCTCCCTATGTACATGCTTTCTCTCTCTCTCTCAAATAAATAAATAAAATTTAAAAAAAGAAAGAAAGAAAGTGACATATAAATTCAGTGCAGCTTGGGGAAAGAGGGCAGGTAGAGGAGTTTGGAGGTGTCTTCCCTTTTTTCTTTCTTTTTTAAAAAAATATATTTATTTGAGAGAGAGGGAGAGCATTTGACAGAGAGAGACAGACCACAAGTGGGGGGAGGGGCAGAGGGAGAGGGAGAAGCAGACTCCCCGCTGAGCAGGCAGTCAGATGCGGGGCTCAATCCCAGGACCCTGAGATCATGAGCTGAGCCAAAGGCAGAAGCTTAACTGACTGAGCCACCCAGGCGCCCCTCTTTCTTTTCTTTTTAAGATTTTATTTTTTTAAGTAATCTCTACACCCCATGTGGGGCTTGAACTCACAACCCGGAGATCAAGAGTCACATGCTCTACTGACTGAGCCAGCCAGGCGCCCTTCTGGTTTTTTGTTTTGTTTTGTTTTGTTTTTAATTGGAGGCTTAAATCATCGACTTTCAGCCTTTCTTCCATTTTTTGATATATGCATTTAAATCTACAAATTTCCCTCTAGATACCGCTTTAGCTCCATTCCAAAAGTGCTCATAGGTCCTATATTTCTTACCATCCAGTTCAAAATATTTTCTGGCTTTTTTTTTTTTTTTCCTTTTTTTGACCCATGGGTTACTTACAGACCATAACTAGTGCAATGACAGGGGTGAATCTCACAGAAATAATGTCAACTACAGCAAGCCAGAGTCAAGAACGTGCAGATGGTGTAGGATGCCGTTCACAGGCAGCAGAGGCGCGGTCAGAACCCCTCCCCGCCCCCCGCCCTACTCGTAGGCCCCGTGACCCCCGGCAGCGGGAAGGGAAAGGCTTCCGGGGGCCGGTGATAGGTGTCTTGATCTGGGTGCTCCCTGCACACGCGGGTTCAGTTTCTTAAAACTGCACCGAGCCATCCGCTTTCGTGTAGTTTAGATTTCGAGACAAAGATTTTTAAAGGCAAAGCAAATAGTGGGAGAAGGAGCTTGACCAGAGGTAACTCCTCCGGCCCTCAGTCCCCAGACCTCCACCAGACGGGACCCCGGGGATCCTGAGCCCTGCGCCGCGGCCCCGGGGGGAGGAAGCCGCTCACCTCCCACGCCTGTCTTCTGCTGCGCCACGTAGGACTCGAAGCGCAGGCGGAAGCGGTTCTCCCCGCCCAGGCGGCCGTGGGTGCCGTCGTCCACCAGGAAGAAGGCCGAGTAGTTGTAGTCGAGCGAAAACTGGACCCTGTCGTCGGAGTCGCCACGCCACGGGTACCTCGCAGGGAACGAGCCCTGGGGGACAAGCGGCCAGACCGGAGCGTTTTTCCATCAGGACCAGGAGGACAGACAGCAGCCCTCCTCCCTCAGACCCAGGGATCCAGGCTCCCAGCCACCTCCTCCCTCAGACCCAGGAGTCCAGACTCCCAGCTTCCTCCTCCCTCAGACCCAGGGGTCTAGACTCCCAGCCGCCTCCTCCCTCAGACTCAGGGGTCCAGGCCCCCAGCGGCCTCCTCCCTCAGACTCAG